CAGGCCACACATGGCCCCAGGGTAGCAGTCAAGACCTCAGGCAATCACAGGGCCTTTGACGGTAACAGGAACCACAGATATCAGAAAGACCCTCAGAGCTATAGGGCCTTGGACTAAGAAATTACTCACAACTGCTGCTTGTGACTGACTTCTCCATGACCCTTGGTGGCAGGGCACTGAGAACGCTATGGTGGTGTTGTAGCATGACCCTTGGATGCCAATATGATCTCAGGTATAGGCCCAGACTCCGAGCATATGCATGGCTTTTAGTGATAGCAGGAGCAACAGACATCAGCACAGACCCTGACTGTAATAGAACTATGGACCCAGACCCTGACATTTCCTTTGGCAGCAGCCCAGACCTGAATTTCACCATGGTCCCAGGTGTCAAATGCCACCTGTTGTGGAAGCTTGTTTAAGGTATGTTATATTTGTTTATGCTCTGGAACATTTGTCTAATGATGTAAAGATGTGTTGCTTTTGTTTCTACAGAATTTGTTTAGTCCTTTGAAACTCTGATTCTTTCCCTGTCTAAATCAACAGATGATCTAATAAAGAACTTAATGGCCAATAGCGAGAAAGAATAACTGGTCTGACAGTCATAGAGAATAAATAGGAAGGGAAATCTGTTGGGAGGGAAGAGAACAAGGAGAGGAGGACACTAGAAGTCAGCCACCCAGCCAGCCAGTCAGCCAGCCACCCAGCCAGTCACAGAGTAAAAGTAAAAGTAAGATACACAGAAGTAAAGGGAGGAAAAAGACAAGAGGTAAAGAGTAGTAGGGAAATTTAAGTTAAGAAAAGCTGGCTAGACACAAGACTGTGTTTGTGTTTACTTGACAACTGGGTAACTGGCCTCCAAGAGAAAAAAGAGACAAGAGTATAGAGTGAAAGCAAATAAAAACAGACCCAGATACAGACATGGCCTTTGGCAGTATAGGAGGCCTGGATTTCTTCATGATCCGGAGTGGCAAACAGGCCGCCCATATCAGCTCATTCCTTATCACCTTTGCCTTTTTAGATTTGCCTCTCTCCACAGGGCATGAACCAGTCTTCCTCCCCGCCCCCCGTCATACATCATCATTCAAATTTTTTTTTTTGAGACAGGGTTTCTCTGTAGCTTTGGAGTCAATCCTGGAACTCACCCTGTAAAACAGGCTGGCCTGAAACTCAAAGAGATCTGCCTATTTCCGCCTCCCGAGTACTGGTATTAAAGGCATGTGCCACTGTTCACTGCAAGCATCTGACTTTGAAACCTCCATTTTAAAGAAGGGGCTTCATCTTGAGCCATGTTAAGAGCAGGGGCTTATCTCTCAGCTCCAGAAATTTGCTGCAATAGTGACATTTGAATGAATACCCTGAAAACAGCCAATTAAAGAGTTAGGAAGCAGGGCCATGAAATTTAATGAGATTCAGATGTTCCTAGGAGGCCTCCTGTCCTTGAAAATAATTTGTCAGTTATTAATGGCTCTTTGTTAGGGTTTTCATGCCCCAAAACTGGCCAGTGGTTTCAGAAGCTACCTTACCTTATGCCCCCCTTGCCCAGTCCCAAGACAGCAGGACTTGAGCTCTCCTGGTTGCAGCACTTCCATTGCATTGGTGTGCTGGAGGTGGAGTCCAAACTCAAGCTTGAATATTAACAACCCTCTTGTGCTTTACATTGAAATCCCGATCTGTGGAAATTTTTTTGACATGGGTATAACATCACCTGGCTCCCACTGTTTATTCGCTCACCATTTATCCACACAAAGAGCAATCTGCCTCAGGTGGGAGTGTGGGTCTCCTTCACCAGAATCCTGAAGTTTTGAAACATGTGTGGGAGCCTTTGGGCTGTGTTCTTAAAAAAAATAAAAAAATTTCCCCCTTTAATTAAACATAACTTCTTTTCTCATACAATCTAATCTGAATACAGTTTCCCTTTTCTCTATTCCTCCTGGTTCCTCTCCACCTCATCTCCCATTTATATCCACTCTCTTTTTGTTTCATTTAATAAGAATAGCCTTCTATGAGATGACAAAACATATTAAAAATAAAATATACTAGGCATAAAACATAAACCATCATATCAAAGTTGGATAAGACAAATCAACAGAAAAAGAGAAGAGTTCCAAGGGAAGTCACAAGAATCAGAGACCCACTTGCTTATACATTCAGGATTCCTACAACAGTGTAACAATGAATGTTATACTGTGTAGTGGAACCAAACCCATTGTACCTGACTTGAATTCCAAAGTGATAACATTGACACTTTGAACTACTTTTTGTTTAAAGTCGGTGATTGTTACATTTTGTTTAAAGTCAATGTTTCTTATCTGAGTTCTTCCTGAAATAATTTCAGAGCCTTTGAAAAACAGTCTTAGAGGACACAGGGAAACCAGGATGTCTCATGGCTAAGAACTGCTTAGGCATTTATGGTGCCTTCAGACAATTCCAGATAAGAGGATTTGCCATGCAGAAACTGACTTTTTATGGTATAATTTGTGTAACAATAAAGTAGGCTTTTGCAAAGCCATGTTGATCAGTCCATTGGGACTGATTTCTTCTGCTGATGGTAAAGTCTGAATTACATTCTGCAATTACCCCCTTTTTTTTCAACAGACCTGCACAAACAGCACAGACAGAACCCCTGCCTGATGCTAATTGGGTTAACAAGAATAAAAATCTTGATAGTTCAGAGACCTAGGGTAAATCCAAATACTACTGATTTTAAAAATGTAAGACAGTGAGTCCTAAGGATATTCTGCTGTACTCATACACCAGTGCCTTCTTCTACCGTGATGAGAGAGGCTTGTTCCTGCAGCAGGTAGGAAAAATTACAGAGACCAACAGCAAGACATTATGCAAAGAGAGTGAGCTCAGAACACGCAGGCCTAAGCAGTATGTCTCCATAACATCCCTCCCCTCAAAACTTAGGGAATCCTGGTGAAGAGGAGCAGAAGGCTTGAGGGATGACAAAAGGGAGGCAGGCTCTCTAACAACAAATCTTGTATGAACTCACGGAGACTGAAGTAGCATGTACAGGACCTAAAGGGGTCTGCACTATGTCCTCTGCATACATACTTTTGTTGGTGTTCTATTTTGTGAGAATCCCTCAAAGAAAAGAAGTCAGTGCAGAATGTTATTCAGATTTTAACAACAGCAACTAGGGGAGCCAGTATCAGTGGACTGACTGACATGCCTTTGCAAAGCCTACTTTTTTGTTACATAAGTTATACCTCTAGCAAGTCAATTTCTGTTTAATGAAACCTATCTGGAGTTGTCTGAAGAAACCATTTGCCCAAGCAATTCTCAGTTATGAAACCCTCTGGCTTGCTAGGTCCACTCAGCTTACTTTGTAGACAGCAATGGAATTTATGAAATACAGCCGAAAGGATAAGAAAGTTACTTTGAGTACATCCTTTTTTGAGTTTGAGGGCACAAAAATAATGGAGACTTATCACGAAAGTCTCTAAAATTAGAAGCAAACTTTGTTCCAAGAATCACTACGGGGCACAGTTTATCTGATAACTGGGAACACAGCCAGAATTTAGGTTTCTGAAACTGTGGCAAAGAGGGTAGGTTCAGTGCCCCTTTTGATAGGCATTAGACATGGACAAGGAAGTTTTACAATGTCAAGGTAAAGCTTATAGGCATGCTACATTTTAAAATCTACAATTTTTGATAATAAGGATTTAGTTAAATTATGTTTACATACACTTCCAGATTTCCTTTATAGTTAACAGTATTTGCAAAGAACTTTACATTTTTTTCTGGCACAAGAGGTTTCCCATGACATGGAGGGATACAAAACAATACAAAGCCAAAAATCATGTAGAAATATTTGGTTAAAGTTTATGGGATGGGGGTTGCGCATGAACCACTATTAAAAATTAACTTTGGTTCAAGGTAGTTGTCAGTTATACATGGCAGAGGAGTTACCATAAAAAATTAACCTGTGTCTGCAGAGAGTCATTTTTAAAAGCTAACCTTTGGTCATAGCCAGAGCTGCCAGTCATGAGTAAAGAAAACACATTGTTAAAAGTTAATCTCTGTTGCTGACAGAATTGACTGTCAATTCTCATTTCTTTAGGCTTGTGAATTTATACTTTTATTTCTACATTTATATTCCTGAACACTTCCCTTCATTCTCTCCCCTTGAATTATAACCAGAATCAAACCTTTGATTTCTCTGTATATATATAAGACCTGTCTAGGTCTTAATCTGAATTTAGATTTAGATTTTGGTCAGAATCCCTAAATAGCATGTACGGTCAGCAGAGAATCAAGAGTTATACTGAAAAAATGCATCTTCTTATAAATCTAATCAACATATTGATTATGTACAGACCAGTAATAGCAGATATTAAGGTTGTTAACCATGGGGAAAAGTCAAAAAGCTTATGGAATGAGGAACATGATTATAGCCTCTCTATATTCTTTTCAAGGGGACTTACTTTGAGCTCTTGAGGACTGTTTTTAACAGCACCTGAGCAGTTAACATAAAAACAACCAGAATTGCCCAAGGCAGGACATAGCCCTACTTGTTTTAGGAGTAGCAAGCTTAATCCTCTTCTGTTTTGTAGAACCATTTCTACTAGAGTCTATTTGTTGTTCTAGGTATGAGGTTGATGACTGGATGCAAAATCAAACTTTCTCTATGGCTTCAGAGAGGCTATTGTAACTGGCTTGACTAGTAATCAATACTGCTGCTCCTAAGGCAGCAGAACCTACAATACTTACTACCACCACTACTGAAACAAGGATTTGTGTTGCTCTCTTATGTAGTCTCTCTAGGAAAGAGTGCAAATGTTCCCAGTCAGATGGGCCCTCATAGTAATGTATTTGTGAAACAATCTATATGAAGACAGAGTTCAGATTGGTTTCCTGGTGTAGGAGGTACTTCTGATCATGAGTTGTTTTCATTGGTTAATGAATAAAGAAACTGCTTTGGGCCTGATAGGGCAGAACTTAGGTAGGCAGAGAAGACAGAACTGAATGCTGGGAAGAAGGGCAGAGTAAGAGATGCCATGGATCTTCTGCCTGAGGCGGACACTGGTTAGAATCTTGCCGGTAAGCCACAGTCATGTGGCGATATACAGATTAATAAAAATGGGTCAAATTAAGATGTAAAAATTAGCAAATAAGAAACTAGAGCTAATGGGCCAAGCAGTGTTTTAATGAGTACAATTTCTGTGTGGTTATTTCTGGGGCTAAACTAGGCAAGTGGCAGGGATAAACAAGGATCTCCACTCTTTGTAACAGTTTTCCATGGTGAAAAGGCTGGTTGATACATAGGGAAATAATCCTGTGGTACAGGTATACCATGACCCTCAGGAGCTGACTAGCTGATGGGAGTTATTTAAGTTAAGAGTATTTGCAGACCCTTAAGAAACATACACCTTTTTGTGTATAGAAAAATAGGCAGTATGACTAAGGGGCAGTTATATGAGTGGAAGCAGAGGCTTCCCCTCGAACATCTCCCAGGGTAACGAATCCTCCTAGGTACAAGCTGTGCTGAGATGTGGGTATTTGGGTGGGGGTCAGATAGAGGTTGGGTAAGTTCCTGTGGAGGTCCTATGTGGAGATGGGGGTTTAACTTTTCATCATGATTTGGTAAATGTCATTCCACGATCACTAATGGTTTCCTATATCTTAAATCCCCAGGATCTTTCTGAGTCCCAGGAATTATAAGGTTGTGGGTACACAGCATCCCATTTCTTAATTTTGAGTAAGATATATATTACAGTATATAGGTCTTGTGCAGTAATTACTGATATTGTTTAGAAAGAAGTCCTTAACAACATTCCAAAAGAGAGCCCATGATTCACAACCCCAGAATGGACACCACAATTTGTTTTGACTGGAAGAGGTTAGGGGAGAGACAGTCAGGCCAACTTAGTAATATTTCACATGAGTTTCTTCTGAAAAGCATTTGATAAGGTCCAGAGATTTACATACATTTGCAGGATGAGAACTGAGTTTGGCAACTCCTCTATGGCAGCTCTCTGAGGTATCTTACTGAATATTAGGTCTGACATTGGATGGCCACTTTAAAATCTGACTGAAATACCTCAGATATTAGTCATTTTGCCCAGAAGTCTGTAAGTCTTCAAACAAATGTAACAGGAGGGTGTTATTGGGAAGTGCCCAGAGACAAAGGGGACAAGGCATATGCAAATTAGAAAAGTCATGATAGCTTGAGTGCTTTTAGTCTTTTCTTTAGCAGGTCCTCAAGGTTTGTGAAGGCCTTTCACCTACTGCCTGCCATCAGGAGCAGGCTAATGGTAGATGGAGTAGTCAGGATCAACATGTGTGGTCCCTTCCAGCATGGTTCAAGGGACTTCTTATGGTGTGTCTGGACACAAACAAGGTCATCTGGCTTTTAGCAATGAGGTTTGTGGAAGCTCATAGATGTGACTCAGCAAAGGGAAGTAATTGTCATGGACAATCTGGAGAACCTGGATGGATTTAAGAAACTTGTATTCAGACATTTTAGCCATGACTTCTGAGGGGAGTCTGGGGACCAAGGGAGAGAATCTGCTGAACATGATTTCATAGGAAATTAACCCATAGTAATGGGGAATGGTCCATATCTGGAACAAGCTGAAAGTTAGGAGGGTCCTACAGTTATCTCCAGTTTCCAGGGTTAATCTAGTTACAGTGTCCTTTAGTGTCTAATTAGACCTTCCTACTTGTCGGGAACTTGGGGATAACGTGCACAATGTAATTTCAAATTGGTCCCCAATATCTTAACTACATGTTGTGTTACCTTGAAGAGAAAGGCTGCTCCATTGTCTGACCTAAATATAGAAGTACATTCATATCTTGGAATGAGTTCATTGATGATCTTCTTAACTACTGTGGATGCCACCTCCTTTTTAGTGGGGAAGAGTTCTATCCAACATAAAAATGTGTCTACAAAGACTAGGAGATATCTATATCCATATATGTCAAGTTTTACCTCAGTGAAGTCTGTCTCCCAGTGGACTCCAGGGTAAGTTCCTCTCTCTTATTTTGAGAGTCTTCTTTCCTCTGTGTGTTAGTACCCTGGCAGGGAAGGCATTGAGTAAAACAGTCCACCACTAATTAGTTCATATCGAAATTTTTGAATTTTGGAGGGAAAGCGGAATCTACACCTCCGTCCGCGGTAGCAACTGGAGAACTGCAGGAGACAATCTTTCTGGACTCGGCGCAGGCGGAGGGAGTGCTAGCAGGGGGTTGGCCTTGTGCAATCCGCACCGTGGGGACGCTGCTGCACGTGGATGCTACTGCCCAGAAGAGAAGATGCTTGGTTTTCACAAGCCAAAGATGTACCGAAGTATAGAGGGCTGCTGTATCTGCAGAGCCAAGTCCTCCAGTTCTCGGTTCACGGACAGTAAACGCTACAAGAAGGACTTCCAGAGCTGTTTTGGGTTGCATGAGACTCGCTCAGGAGACATCTGCAATGCCTGTGTGCTGCTCGTGAAAAGATGGAAGAAGTTGCCGGCGGGATCAAAAAAAAAAACTGGAATCACGTGGTAGATGCAAGGGCAGGACCCAGTCTGAAGACAACGTTGAAACCAAAGAAAGTGAAAACTCTGTCTGGAAACAGGATGAAAAGCAACCAGATCAGTAAACTGCAGAAGGAGTTTAAACGCCACAATTCGGATGCTCACAGCACCACCTCAAGTGCCTCCCCTGCCCAGTCTCCCTGCTACAGTAACCAGTCAGACGACAGCTCAGATACAGAGATGGTGTCCAGCTCTAATAGGACTCCAGTGTTTTCCTTCTTAGATCTTACCTACTGGAAAAGACAGAAGATCTGCTGTGGGATCATCTACAAGGGCCGCTTTGGGGAGGTCCTCATAGACACGCATCTCTTCAAGCCTTGCTGCAGCAGTAAGAAGGCAGCTGCTGAGAAGCCCGAGGAGCAGGGGTCGGCGCCTCTGCCCATCTCCACTCAGGAGTGGTGACTGAGGTTCATGTAGAAGGGAACAAAGAGCGATTTTAAACTTTGAAAAGACCACAAAGCAACAAATTGACCCTCCTATTTTTAACTTGGATACCTGCTATTCTGCCAAAAGACATTTTTCTAGAATAGTTTCATGGGTTACCCATCCTCCCATCCAACAAACTTTGAAGCCAGTTTCTTTTAGCTTACTACAAGAAAGAAGTGTACATAATATTTAAGATGCTGGGTATTTCATAGGAAAGCTGAATGCTGCTGTAAAGTGCTCTTTAAAGTCTTTTTTTTTAATCCGCTCTAATGAATGGAAGTAGGGGAATTTCAGGGGACAGAGATGGGATTTGTGTGTGATAAATAAACCATATGTAGTTTAGTTTTTCTGTGGAGAGGCAGTGGTTGGGGCATTTTTAAATGGCTGACTACACTTGTTTTCCCTCATGATGATTTGTCATAACTCAGTAGCACGACCTGCCCCCTAGAGGTAGTTAAGAATTTTTAAATGCTAAGGTGTTGCCAAGGCTCTGATGATTCAGACCTGTACTACTGATGATTACGCAGGACAGACTGAGCTTTCTGCAAATAGCTTGAAGGAGGAAGCAATCTCTGAACACACAGGCAGCACCGAGTCGCCTCCCCTCGTCATATTTGATAAAAAGACTTTATGTGAATCTTAGAAAACAGAACCAGAGCTCCTTCTGGGGAAGGCCAGCCTGTAGGATGAGCAAGGTCCTATAGGGATAGTACCAAAGCATCACCATGCGGTAGAGAACACGTGGTTATAAACTACTTAAACAGAATGTGTAAGTCCTGGGGATGCGTGGGGCACAGTTAATGCTGCTTGGGGCACATTTCTTAGAGGGCTTACAGTGTGTAAACAATTGACATTGGTGTTACACAACTGTCTGGGATTCACTGAAATCCATACGATTCAGTTCTAGCTCTGAATTATCTCAGTTGACCTTTTGTGGAGGTTTTTTTTTTTTATCTATAGAGTAGCTCTTTGCCTTGTCATAACTTTATTAGGGTTTTGGGTTTTGTCTTATTGTTTTTTTCTCTCTCTATTTAAAGTTTGATTAGAAGAAAAGAGTTGTGTGTTGAGGCTAAGTTGTTTAGTTGGATTGGGTCGGCTTCTTGGAGTTGGGCTTCTGAACATCAAGATAGCTGAATGGAGCTCCTTGTGTGGAGATCTCAGTAGGGCTTCTCAGTTGAGCCAGACTGAAAGTTGTCCGATTGCCTCTTTTCAGAGTTCAAGAAAAATAGTGCCATTTCAGACCTCTTCTAGAGGGAGGGATGTGTGGCTGCCTTAGTATTCTGTCGCTCATGGTTATTTTAAAAACTGGATTTTTAAAAGTCTGTTGGTGTTTCACAACGGGGAGGGCCACAGTTTGTGGCATCCTATAGTTTTATAGTTTTACATTTTGTGTGTCTCTTCCTTTTTGGAAAAACCTACCTAGTACAAGCCACCGCATGCACAGACTGCCCAGTGAGTGGGTTGGTTCTCCACGGCCCTTGGTGTAGTACAGAGTCCAGCCGTTACCATTCTCCCGCGGTGCTTTGACGCGGGATGTTTCTTTTGTACATTTTGGCTGCAGTATTGGTGGTAGAATATACTTTGATGGATCATCTCTACTTCTGTATTTATTTATTTATTACTAGACCTCAACCACAGTCTTCTCCCCTCCACTCTCTGCCGTAGGATGTACTGTATGTAGTCATGCACTTTGTATTAATATATTAGAAATCTGCAGATCTGTTTTGTACTTTTTATACTGTTGGATACTTATAATCAAAACTTTTACTGTAGGGTATTGAATAAATTTAGTCTTACTAGAAAATAAAAAAAAGAAATTTTTGAATTTTGAGTGTCTCAGGACTTTTTAAAAAAATTTCTTTGGTCTAGATCTGTTCCCCTGCAGATTTGGTAGATTAGGGAGCTGTCCAGTTCATCTGGTAAAATGAGTCATCTGAAGTATACTTCCATCTGTTTTTAACCCGGTTATTTGATAAAGAGGCAATGACTATATCATACTGAGCAAAATAATTCAGTATTTCAGACAACACAGGGTCTGGTATTAATATCAATGAATTGGTGTCATTTAAGGCAGACCTCCTTGTTTACGTGATCTATTCTCTTATTGCCCAGAGCTTCAAAAGAGTTTCCTTTTTATGTTTTCCTGGGCACTAGTTTAATGGCCAGTCATGGAAGCCAGAGGACAGACAGGAATTTTTGTTTACTTTTTAAACGTTTTTTTTCAGTGGTTAGTAACCCTCTTTCTATGTAGAAGGTTCTGTGGCCATGTGTCATTGCAAAGCATAACAGCTGTCCATATAAACATTGATAGTTTTATGTTTTTCCAATTGTAAAGCTTAGTTAGTGCAATCAACTCAGCCCTTTGTGCTGTGGTAACAGGAGGCAGGAAAGTAGCCCAGATAGTTTCTGGTGATCTCACTCTTGCCATCCCTGTATACCTGGTTCCTTCCCAGTAAAGCTGATACCATCAGTGAAGGTGAGTGAGATCTGGATTGGGCCAGGGATTGACAGTCAAGTTCAGTCAAATTCCATGTACTCGTTGTAGTATTTCTGAGCAGTAATTGATGATATCTGAGTTCAGATTTGGCAGTAAGATCACTGGGGTGAGTGAGGTGCTTGGAAGGAGCCTAATGCAATGGGGGTTGAGAATCACAGCCTGGTAATGTGTTAATTGGTCTTTGGTCATTCTTAGTCATACGTATTTTGAGTACCCTCTAATTGTGGGACCCTCACCCCTTATTCTCAAAGGGACAAGAAGAAATTTCTTAGCAGAATGTTTTCCCAGGAAGATAGTGGCCTTCCCCTCTCCCACCCAGGATATTCTGAGCACGAGGTCACTTAACTCAGCCCAGACAGCCACCTGGTACAGGCTGATAAAGATGGCCTAACTCAAGAACAGTGGCATCTCTAAAAACAAGAAAAAAAGCTTACTTAGCAAAATATGAGGGAGCAAAAGTCCTTGTACCCATGCCAAAGCATCTTCAAAGATTCTCTTTGTAGTTATGCCTTTAAAAGCTTACCCCACAGAGGAGATACAACTCCTCTCTACCTTGTTGTAATGGGGATGGAGATGAGTTCCAAACATGTTTGTATTATGCTGATTAAACCTTGCTTATTACAGTCTGGGCCTCTCTGGTGGTCTCTCTCTGGGTGTCATGATCTGGGCACAACATAATGAGTGTTTTTGGCTATGGGTAGGAGTTGCCTCAGGGTCAATGTATAAGCATCCTTGGCCAAAAGAGTCATAGCAGAAATGATACAGAGCCAGCTATGCTACCTAGAGACTACAGGGTCCAGCCACTTGGATTAATGGGACACTGGTTGCTTCCAAGGTCTAAGACATTGAGTCAGGTCTCTCTTAGCTATTGCAGTTTTTTAATCTATGGATAGTTGTAAGGTCTTGTGTATGTTTGGCAGAACTAATATGGGGACCTTTAGCAGAACTTCCTTTATGGTTTTGAAATTCCCTTCTTGAATATCAATATAGAAGAAGGACTCCTCTGTTCTATGGGTAGCCTCATATAAGAGTTTGGTTATTTCAGCAAATCCCAGTATCCAGAGCCATCAGAATCTGACTGAGCCTAGAAATTCCTGAACCTGTCTCTGGGTTTTCAGGCCTGGAATAGCTAAGATAGTCTGTTTTCAAGCAAGTGACAGTAATCTCTTACCTTCCTATAGAATATGACTTCTGGGATGCATATCTGGACTTTATTAGCTGATGCCTTATAATCCAGTTGACATAAAGTCTGCAACGAGTCTCTGGTTTCCTATAAGAAGGAATCTTGGTTCCTGGAAATAAACATGAGATCATTGACATATAGAAGGATGCTTAGCTCAGGGTATGAGGTCCAATAATTTCTCAAGTCATGATGTAGAATGTTGGGTCCCTAGAAGACAGGCCTTCACACCCCATCTTGATCTGTTTTGCACTCTTGCAGTTGGTTGGAAACAGGAACAAAACCAGGAACAACCTGTTGTTTTTAGTAAAGTTTCTAAGGATGTTTACCCCTAAGCCATTGAGTTATGGTGATGAGCTTTCTGCTTTTGCTGTCTTGGCCTCCCCTGCTGAGGGCTATATATACTGTGCGAAAAAGTGGAATAAAGGCTTATCTGCAGAACCTGAAGTTATGTTGTGTGTTAATCCCGACGTCCCTCGCTCAGAAGAACGACAATTGCCATGCTGGCATGACCAGTGGAGGTTCCCCCGATATCTGAGAAAGAAGGGGTAGTGGACAGGGTCATCCTAGACCGGTAAGGATGGATTGGGTTAAAATGGGATCCACAAGCAGTAAGAGAGATATCTAAATTATTAGAGAAACAAGGAACCACGGCCAAAGAGAGAACTATAGAGGATTTTCTTAAGAATATAGCCACAGCAAGCCCATGGTTTTTGACAGGTGGAGGTTTGAACATCTCTGATTGGAAACAGGTAAAAACAGATTTGCAGAAACGCCTGCAAAAGGAGGGTGCCAATAGCATCCCTATATCTACCTTTTCGTTATGGTGCCTGGTTCGCGATACCCTACTTACTGATAAAGTGAAAGTGAGACAGGAGATCGTAGCTGCTAAAGAGATACTTGAAGAAATACAGGAGGTGGAAACTCGCCGGTCCATAGGATCGGCAGAGTCGCATAGGGACCAAAAGGAAATGTCAGAGGTACCAGGGGGAACTTTGGAATCTGGCGCAGGACTAAGGCTAGTGCCAAAGTCTACCTACTTTCGGGGGCAAAGTGAGATAGCAATAACCTCTGAGTCAGAAAATGGGAAAGACAGCCTTAGTTCTAGTGCAGAGAATAGTTTAACTGATGAGGAAGCACAGCTAATGCAGGAAATTAAGGTACTTCAGAAAAGGCTGAAGTGCTATAAGGCAAAGGATTCCTTATGTGTACAGTCAGCCCCACCTGCTTTTAATGCCGATTGGGGAAAAAGGGAATCCCGTTGCGGACTGACAGATGACAGGGAGGCTGAAGAGGGCTCTGGAAGAAGAGGAGGTGTCTGTTTTCGGCCCCGGCACACAGTTGCCCCGGTTATAGAGGTACCTGATCCTAACAATCCAGGACAGATGCTGAGACAACATGTGGCCTTGAGCTTTAAGGAGATCAAGCAATTGAAAGAGGCCATGGCGGTATACAGCTCTCAGGCCCTGTTTACTCTTACCATGGTAGAGTCTTTTGCGGCATTGAATCTTACACCTAGTGATTGGCAGCAGCTATGCCATGCGGTACTATCGGGAGGAGATTACTTAATGTGGAGGGAAGAATATCAAGAGAATTGTTTACAAATGGCTAGGTTAAATGCGCAAGCGCGACAGGCACAGTGCAATCTAGACATGTTAACTGGAGCAGGAGTTTATGCTGACTTGGCCAATCAAATTGTGCTCAATCCTGCCGTATATCTCCAGATGGCAACTGTGTCTACCAAAGCTTGGAAAGCTCTGCCAAACAACGCCGCAGGGGATCAGCTGTCAAAAGTTCTATACTCAAATGCAACAGGATTTAGAGAAGGCGGGGCTGATCATAGCTCCTGAGAAGGTCCACATGCAAGCCCCATATTCCTACCTTGGGCACCAATTGGCCATGGATGGAATTAAACAAAAAAAAATAACTATTGACACCTCTCATCTTAAAACCTTACATGATTGGCAGCAGTTACTGGGAGACGTACAGTGGATATGTCCTTCCCTAGCAATCAAAATAGGTGGCTTAAGACCATTGTATAATATGCTCTTGGGAGAAATTTCCCATAAAATAGGCATTCTATATAACCCAATGGGTCAAGCAATTGTAGAAAGAGCCAATCAGACCCTCAAGCAATATTTTCAAAAAATTAAAAAGGGAGAGTTCATATTCTTCCCAGCTACTCAATTATCCACTATTCTCTTTATTTTAAATTTTTTGACTGTGGATGCTGAAGGGCTCTCGCCTATGAAGCGTCATACACAGGTTAGGGCTCAGAGTCTAGGATGAGTTCGTTGCAAAGATTTGCAAACAGGAAGATGGATGGAACCAACCCCCTTGTTGGCAAAGATTAGGGGGGCTGTATGTGTTTTTCCTCCAGGAGTTGATAAACCAATTTGGGTGCCAGAGCAGTGCATAAGGCCAGTGACCCAGGATGAAGACCACAATGCTCCTTCTGCTTCAGGTGATGACTCTGATAACAACAACAGAATTATGAGTGATGGGGAGTCTGCTGAGAAACCCCCCATCACTTTTAAATGTCAGTTAGTATTGCATAATACCTATGGTCCCAAACCTGCTCTTAGGTGTTGGGATGCCGATAGAGATTTTAATCTCCATCTGACAGTTATGTGGGAAGAATGTATCACTCAAGAGTCTGATTTGTTATACTGCTGGACGCAATATGACTATTTGATTCTCTGCTTGATTCCTCCCCCATTTTTCTTTGTATTGTGGAGTGGCACTTTGGCGGGGGGCAATATTCTTAATTGTTCTTCCAGGATATGCAAGCTGAGTAATTGTTGGGATGGTTCTGATGGAGCTTTGATCGTTCGAGTGCCTGCTGTGATTCCTCTGCCGGTGCTGGTGTCTCAAGAACATCAGGAGATCATCCTTTATCGACAGCGGGTGAACAGCTGCAATTGTTGCTGCTATTGCTGTCACTGCCACTGTGGCTACGGTTGCTGGAGTTGCCATTTCACAAACAACTGTGACTATAGAGACTGTGAATCAACTGTCTAGAAGGGTTAGCAAGTCCCTGCAGACACAGAGTGCTCTGGACTCTCATATTGGACTTGGACTTTTAAATTTAAATCAACACACTGTGCTTTTGTAAGAACAGGTAGATTCCCTTTGACTCCTGCAACAAGTGTCTTGTACATTACACCTGCTAATGTTATAAATGCTTCTCATGTGGCTGAACAGTTGAATGCATGTTTGGATGGCCCTTGGAATTTATTTTTGAATTTCACCCTGCAGACAGCTTATCATATTGTTAGTATTAACAGCACATGGGTCCCTGCTGTGTCTGGATCCAGTCAGTAGAATGCCATGGCCCAGCTTGGGGGCTGGGTCCAGCAATTGTCTGGAATGTTCATTTGTACTCATATTGCTATTGGGGTTATCTGTTTTTGGATTCTCTTCCATTTTATGTGGCAATCCCACGAAGAGCACACTGTCCAAGTGTTGATTGGACTGTCTTCTAGTAATCAAGAAGTGCCCCAAGTCTGGCTGCAGATATTGCAGAAGTCATGAGGAATCCCTACCATGGGCAACTCTCCAGGTATAGTGAGCTCACCTAAGACAGGGATTAAGGCCTCCCATAGACGGGTAAGAGTCTCTATCTGGGGAAGTCCTAAGACAGGGGCTCTCATGCTTTTAAAATGAAAAAGGGGGGAATTGTTGGGTCCCTAGAGGACAGGCCTTCGCACCCCCTCTTGATCTGTTTTGCACTCTTGCAGTTGGTTGGAAACAGGAACAAAACCAGGAACAACCTATTGTTTTTAGCAAAGTTTCTAAGGATGTTTACCCCTAAGCCATTGAGTTATGGTAATGAGCTTCCTGCTTTTGCTGTCTTGGCCTCCCCTGCTGAAGGCTATATATACTGTGTGAGAAAGTGGAATAAAGGCTTATCTGCAGAACCTGAAGTTGTGTTGTGTGTTAATCCCGATGTCCCTCGCTCAGAAGAATGACAGTTGCCGTGCTGGCGCGACAGTAGAACTTATAAAAGATGGTAGGCAAATTTTTGATTCCCTGTGATGGGTAGGTCCAGGTGAGCTGTCTACTGAATCCCTGGCCTAAGTTGTGCCATTTGCAGGCAAAGAGGGAACGGTTCTTAGACTCCAGAGTTAGACTGAAGATATCTTTAAGGAATAGTAGTAGGCCATTTGTTTGTTCCTGGCTGGCCAGACTCAAAATTGTTGTGATCCAGCTGCCCTCACTCCCCTTGACTGACAGCAGAACTTCCTTTTGGTCTGTAATTGACAAGGATATTTGTGTTCTTTCTGGTTGGTGGGTCTCCAAAGAAAGAGTAGAGGTATAAAAGGTTGCTGGGCAAAATAAAGGTTGTTGTTCCTCCACCTGAAAAGAAACCTCTGTGTCTCAATCCCAGCAGCCCCCGCCAGTCTTGGCTCTCCAGGTTGTGCTGGCTGCAGCAAGTGGAGGTCCCACGGAGATCTGGAAAGTGGGGATACATGAACGGGGTTGCTCCAGCCACCGGCTTAATCAAGGAGTACATTGGGGAAGGTAAAGTGTTTTTATTTTTCATCCCCAGAGATAACTCTGAGGGGCATCCTCCAAAAGATAAGCAAGTATAAAGAGGCAGGAGGATGAATTGAAAGGCCTCAAAAAGTAACTGAAACTCTTAAAGCAAACAAGGTACAGAAGTAACAAGGAAGACAGCCAAAGATTTTGTACAGGAGGGGGTTTAAATGTTCCAGACTGGGAACAAGCCAATTCAGATTAAAAGGAGTATGTGTGTCTTCATTCCTAGAGATGCTCTGAGGGATGCGCTCTGGAAGATTGACAAGTAGGGAAGTAATAAAACGGAGACAGGAAGGTGAATTAAGGGCCTCAAAAGATAGAATGTGTAGAGATATATGTTATTGTTTTGATTGTGTTGTCTTTTGTGTTCTGGACTGGAGAAAGACATTTGATCTGGGAACTCCTAAAAAAGGTATTTTGACTTTAAAATAAAGGCCTAAGGATTTGATGCTTTGGAAAAGATGTTCTGCTTTTGTCTCCAGAGAGCATAAGAACCTGTGGATTATTGCAAATTTATGTGGTTTGAATCACCATGACCCCCTGAAATGTTGATGTAAAATGCTCCTAAGAATGCAGTACCTCCACTCAGTAGGAAGTAGCCAGGCAGGTTGACGATGCCCAAACTCCCTAAAAGATTGTTAAAGTGAGGCCCCTTCAATGATTCCAGAGCAGGAGCAGTGAGCCTGCTTCCCTGAGTTCTGCTCCACTCTATGCAGCAGTTTGGATCCAAAGTGAGTGCAACTGGGGCCAGAAGGCAACTGGAGCAGAGCTTTGCCACCACAGCTACTGCTGCCGGACTTGCTCTCTCACAGACTGTGCAGACAGCTGAGACTGTCAACCAGCTTGCTGAAAAGAGTCAGCAATGCTTTGCACATTCAAAATTCAATATTGACCTTGAACCAACAAGTAGCTCTGGTTCAGGAGCAAGTGGACTATCTTTGGACTTTTCAACAATTAATCATGTTTTTCATGGCACTGTATTGCATGCTTCTGCTACTGTTATGGAACTCAACCATCATATGAGAGGGGGTTGGAATACTGCTTTTGTTAATTTTACCACCCAGTTAGCACATGCTAAATCATTGCAGCGCTGGTCTGGCTCCTTGGCACTGTCAGTCCTGGGGATACTTGGTTTAGGGCTATGTGTCTGGGTAGCCATTGACGGGCAATACTTTGGGGGCAGGATGCTACCTAAGACAGGGAGTATTAGAGGGCTATTCCCCATGACAGGAAAGGTATTATAAAATAAAATGGGGGGAGTTGTTGTGATCCAGCTGTCCTCACACCCCCTGACTGACAGCGGAACTTTTTGTGGTCTGTAATTGACAAGGATGTTTGTGTTCTTTCTGGTCGGTGGGTCTCTACAGAAGGAGTAGAGTTATAAAAGGTTGCGGGCAAAATAACGGTTGCTGTTCCTCCACCTGAAAAGAAGCCTCTGTGTCTCAATCCCGGCACCCCCCGCCAGTCTTGGCTATCCAGGTTGTGCTGGCTGCAGCAAAAATAACCATGCAGAAACAATGAATGTTTTAGTTCATTAACATTAGTATTTTAATGAAATCACTGCTTGGCCTGCCACTTAAGTGTATTACCAGCTAGTACTTATATCTTTGGTGAACCCATTTTTATTATTTTATATTTTACCATAAGGCTCATGGCCTACCAACAAGGTTCTAGCTGGCAGCTTGCATCTTTCCCCTCTGGTGGCCACATGGCATCTCCTGACTCTGCCTTCCTTCTCCCACCATTCAGCTTAGTTTTCCCTGCCTAGCTCTATTCTACTCTATCACAGGGCAAAGCAGTTTCTTTATTCATTAACCAATAAATGAAACACATAAAGAGAAGGACTTTCCACACCATTAAGGTTTAGAACTGAATACATTTGGATCTCTGGGGAGAGGGAATTTAAGAGATTATAAGAGCTAGGAACTGTGGAATGGATATCTTCAACTCATTTGTTAAACTCTCTAAGGTTTTTCACTAACTGATAATCATTGGTCCCTGGCTTCTTGACAGGCAGAAGTGGGGGTTTCTATGGAGACTGACAAAGTATTAGAGTTCCATGCTCTAGGATAAGATTAATATATTTTGTGAAGATCAACTTGGCTTCTCTGGTCATGGAATATTGTCTTAACTTGAACAATTGGGCATTTCTTTTCAAGGCAACTATGAATAGGGGCTGCTGGGTTGGTAGCCCTGGGGGATGAGTGTCTGACAATACTTTTTGAATAGAAAGTTGGAATTCAGTCATTAGAGGAGACACTTCTGAAGTAAGTGTTTGTGGAAGCCTGTATTCTTCTAGATCCAGGCATTTCGTATAGACTTTGGTCTAATGGGAGATCATCAATCCTTCCCAGTGTAATGAATTTGGTCTTTCATCTTGGCCAATTAAGTTTCTTCCCAGGAGGGGAAAGGTGCACTTAAGAATATTTAAGAATATTATCATCCCAAGTCTATACTTCATTTTATAATCCATGGATATAAGGTCATCCCTGTGTTCCCTAAATTCACATTTGTCATATAGAGACACCAATAGAGTTATTAAGACCGTATGGTGGGTGCCCTCTTGGTAAAACATCAACAGGCTATCCCTCCACTTGCAAGGTTACCTAGGACTTGAGGAGCAACTTCTAACTCCATCCTCTTCAGTTACCTGGGCTTTCTAGATTAAGTACCTTTTGGTCATCTCTGGATTCTTTTGGTCTTCCTTTTTCCTGGGATCATGCCTTCTTCCAATTGTTGTGCCCGAGCTGAAATCCCCAGAGAGACCGCCACTGGAATCCAGTCACGTCCAGAACGCGAAAGCAAGGTTTAATTTTTTCCAGCTAGCTGGGAGCTCTTCCATTACTCTGGGGATGGCAACTCATGCAGGGCTTTACAATGGTGTCCACATGGCTCCAAGGTCAGGGAGCAGAGGTACCTGGGATAAAATGGGTGGCAAAGTTGGCATGCACCCAGCAGAGAGCAGAGGACAGAGGTGAGGCATGCAGATTAAAACAGTCCTGGCAGGGGAGGCATGCCTGTGCCTGGGGGATTGGCAGCTTACAATCTTTTAAGAAATTTTAAATTATACCAACATGTGTACTTTAGAAAGCACTGATTTTAATGTCAATGTCAAAGATGCATTATGTTTGGGGAAAATTATGCTTTTGCTTCCACAAGAAAAAAAAGTGTGTGTTTTAGTCATATATTCAGTGGGTTACAACACTTATCACCTTTGATTAAGATATATATATATATATAATATACAATATATATATTATATATATATATGTAGTTCTGCTTTTGTTTTAAATATTACATCTATGCTATGTTCTGCTGGACAAAATCGCAAAAAAGACTTTGATGGAAATTCACATATTGTCTGGAAAATGAGAGGAGAAACAAGAAAGTTTTAGATAAAGGTTTTTATGTTGTCTGAAAAGTAAAAAAAGGCAGGACAAGGAAAGAAAAACGTTTGTCTATGAAAAGTCATAAAAGGCATATGAGAGGTTGTAAAAGGACAGAGGATGTGAACTATGTTTGCTATGGTTTCTCATAGTTTCTCAGATCTGTAAA